AAAACCCTAACCCGAAGAAGAAAAGAGGGCCTGGAAACCAGCCAGTGGAGGATGAGAGTACTGCCTCAGCTATTTTGAAAGCAGTCAACGCTTTAACAGTAAAAATGGATGAACAGACGGCCCTGCTTCGTAAGTTGGATCAACGCATCGAAAAGAACACAGCTGAGATCGGCCAGAACAAGGAGTCGATTACCAAGCTTCAAGAGAAGGTTGTTGAATTGCACAAAGAAAATAAATTACTGCGCAGTCTTTGCGAGGACCAGGCTCGTTACAAGAGAAAGTGGAACTTGAGGTTGATCGGTCTGCCTGAAAAATCTGAGGAAAATGTAAGAGAGACGGTAATTGGGTTACTCACCAGAGTTGTGCCAGTTTCTGTGGATAAACTGAGGGATACCGTGGATACGGTTCATCGGCTTGGAGTGAAAGGGAACGCTGCCTCTTCCACGATCCCGAGAGCTGTAATGATCCAGTTCAGCATGAAAACGCTCCGAGACGAGGTTTGGAAAAAGTCCAAGGATGCGAGAGTCTGCAAGGAGATGAACGTTCGCTTCAGGGAGGATTTCTCCAAGGAGGACCGGGAGGCTCGCACTAAACTATGGCCACTAGTCCAGGAAGCCAGGAGGAAAGGGAAGAGGGCCTTTCTGAAAGATGGGTATGCCCTTATTGACAACAAGAGAGTGGATCCAAACTGAATTAATAGGTGGGATTCTATTCTACTCTACCTCAAAGACATGTGATTGTTAAAAGGTTGCAAAAATAGCTTATTTCTTAATAAAGGGTTATTGCACAAGTATGTTCTTGAAATATATGTTCAGGATAAAGCTGGTTGTTCCTGCGCCAAATTACTTCTCTTAAAAAAAAGGAAAATAAAACAAACAAAAAAACTAAGTGTTCAGAAGCATTCTATGTTATCTTTTATTTCTTTAAATACAAGGGGGTTAAGAAATAATGTGAAACGTAAAGCAATTTTTCTGTTTTGCAAGGAGCAAAAGTCTAATTGTGTTTTTTTACAAGAGACACACTCAGTTGAAGAGGACACAAAGTTCTGGAAGTTACAGTGGGGGGATTCTATGTTTTTTAGCCATGGCTCCTCGCACTCAGCTGGCGTGATGATTTTATTTAACCGGTTTCCAGGTAATGTTATTGACTGTAAGAATGATCCTGAAGGTCATTGGATAATGGTGGTGGTAGAAATTCAAGGTTTGAACTATATTCTGCTGTGCTTATATGGATATAATGTCAGATCTCAAAACAAGAAACTAATGTCCTTATTGAGTGATCAGCTGCAAAAATGGAAACTTAATTATTTGTCTGACAGAGTTGTTATTGGTGGAGATTATAACGTTGCCCCTGATTTATTCTTGGACCGCCTTCCTTCTAGGGCAACATGTCATACTTATGAAGATTATATTCTTAACTTGACTACCACAAACAACCTTTGTGATTACTGGAGAATGAAAAACCCATTTGCAACTAAATTCTCATGGTTTAATCCTTCAAACAATGGTCAATGCTCTCGAATAGATTATTGGTTACTATCAAACAATTTAAGTGATATGGTTTCTAAATGTGATATATCTGCATCCCCCCTGACGGATCATTGTGTTATTATCTTAGATGTTTTACTTGACAAGCGAGAACAGATAACTGCAGTATGGAAGTTTAATAACAGCCTTTTACATAATTTGGACTTCTGTACAGAAGTTAAAGCTTTAGCTGAGGAAATTGAAGCGCTGGAAATGTCAAGCTTGAACAAATGGGAATGGTTCAAATTCCAAATTAAAACGGTATCGATCAAAATAAGCAAATCCTCCTCAAAACAGAAAAAACACGAGCAACAAAACATTGTTGAAGGTATCAACAAACTATGCCTCAAAAAGGATCTATCACTGGAGGACCATATTCTTCTTAATAAATTTCAATCTCAACTAGATAATATTTATCTAGAAAAAGCTAATGGTGCTTATGTTCGCTCAAGAGCGCGATGGATTGAAGAAGGAGAAAAAAACTCTTCATATTTTTTCAACCTAGAAAAACAAAGACAAACAAAGAAAAAAATTTGTAAACTCTCATTGCAAGATGGAATAACAGATGATCCAGATAAAATAAATAAGGAAATATTTCACTTTTACAGGGAATTATACAAATCCCATTATTCTAAGGAAGCTGCCACAGATTTTTTTTGGAAAAATAAAAGAACACATCACACCACTAGCAAATGACTTAAAAAATCTTACAGAGGGAAAACTTGAGATTGGTGAGTTGGATAAATCATTAAAACAAATGCCTAAAGGTAAATCTCCAGGAATTGATGGGTTGACTGTAGAGTTTTACATCGGTTTTTGGGAAAATATTAGAGTAATGTTGTTTAACGCTCTTCTGGAATGCATCTCTAAAAATAGTCTCTCCCCTACAATGAAATATGGTCTTATAACACTAATCCCAAAACCCAACAAAGATAAATTGCTTCTAGATAACTGGAGACCCATAACGCTCCTATGTAATGATTATAAATTACTGGCCCGTGTATATGCTAACCGCTTAAACAATTGTTTACCCCAACTAATAGGTGAATATCAATCAGCCTTTATAAAGGGTAGAAATATACACAATCATATTCGGTTAATCCTTGATATGCTTGATTATAACGAGCTGATAGAATCGGAAAGCTTGATTTTGTTTCTAGACTTCTGTAAAGCCTTTGATACGGTTGAGCATCCCTTTCTGTTAGATACATTACATCACTTGGGTTTTGGGGACACATTTTGCAAAATAATAAAAATGTTTTACTCTGATATCTCTAGTTATGTATCTCTTAATCCAGGAATGACCAACAGATTTGAGGTTGAAAGAGGTATTCGACAGGGATGTCCAATCTCCCCCAAACTGTTCATATTGACCACACAATTGTTAGCGCTTGCAATCCTAAAAGACCAAAATTTAAAAGGCATAAATATTTTTGATAAGGAATTTAAAATAAGCCAATTTGCTGACGATACGGCCCTATTTCTAAAAGATAAATCTATGGTAGTGCACGCCCTCAACACCATCTCGTTATTTTCCCAGGCTTCAGGACTGTTTCTAAATATCAACAAGTGTGAATTACTTCCGGTTCATTCATGCAATGAATCGGAGATAGATTCAATAAGGGTGGTAACCGAAGTGAAATATCTAGGTATAGTTATGACCAAAAACACAATAAGGAGAGAAGAAATAAACATCTCTAATTGTATATCGAACATGAAATGTTCTCTCAGTAGATGGCTAACTCGAGACCTAACTATTTTTGGAAGAGTCATTCTCTCTAAAGCAGAAGGAATCTCTAAATTAATATACCCCTGCCATTCTCTCTATATTTCTCCCAAAAATATTAAGAAAGCTAGCTCCATAATTTTCCAGTTTCTCTGGAGAAACAAAACTCATTATATTAGAAGGTCCCAGTTAGTAAAGGACTACAACAAAGGTGGTGTTAAAGCCCTGGATTTTGAGTCCTTAGTTGGAACCTTTAAAGTTAACTGGCTCAAAGCTTGTTTAACTCAGTCTGATTCTATGTGGTTCCATATACCCAAATCTTTATTTAAGAAACTAGGAGGATTGGAATTTTTGTTAAAATGTGATTTCCAGATCAACAAAATTCCAATGAAACTTTCGAACTTTCATAGACAAATTCTTTTGTTTTGGAAAATGGCATTTACGCACAATTTTTCTCCCCACATGTCAACATTATGGAACAACAGAGTAGTTACGGTTAACGGAAAGTCCCTTTACATTAGAAACTGGCATGAGAAAGGTATTCTGTTTATACATGACCTTATGGACTCAAATGGGAATTTCCTAGATGTTAAACCATTTACACAAAAATTTAACTTTAACTGTGATCAAAAAGAATTCCATAAAGTTTGTAGAGCAGTCCCAGTGGCGCTACGGCTCCTAATACATAATAATATGTTATATTCTAAGGTTTCACCAACACTGCCTAATCTTAAAATAGGTGAATTTAGGCTACTGGACAGTAAATTGGGAAATAAAATCATTAATGCAAATTTTAAAGCTATTCTATATCAAGGTTTTACTGCTGGAAGGTTTTTACAAGCCCTTAATAGGGACCAATCCTTTATGGAAAAAGCCTTTTCTAAATTTGTAAAGTGGCCAGTTGCACCCAAAGTCAAAGAAACACATTTTAAAGTAATCAATAATGTTTACCCAGTTGCTGATTTTCTAGAGAGAAGGTTCAAATTTGAAAGTATGCAGTGTGCTTTTTGTGATTCAGCCTGCGAAACATTACATCATCTCTTTTTTTGGTGCCCAATATCAACTACATTCTGGTGGCAAATATATAATTGGATTTCACTAAAAATTAATAATATTCCAAGATTTGAAGTTGATCATATTATTTTCTACATGGATAATCTGCCTCCTTCTATATCGGATATGATCAATGTAGTGATTCTCCTTGGGAAATACCATATTCACTGTAGCAAGTGGAAAAACCTATTACCCTCCTTTGCCAGATTTATGAATGACTTTAAACAATATTTTTCCTCGCTTAAGCATCTAAAATCAGGCCGATTTGTTACAATTTATGACAAAATCTCATCTCTCTTGGTCTTAGACTATTAGACTCTTATCTCCGGTGCTACAGGATTGTATTTGTACTTGCAGGAGTATTATTTGGACGTTGTGTTTACATTAACCCCCTGTCTTGTGTCTCGATTTTGGAAATGTCCCTTTTATTTTAGTTATGTCCCTTTTGTTTTCACATATCTATTTTATGTTGTACATAGATGCTGTCATGTTGTTCACTAAGCTGTTGGTTTTGGCTGTTGTATTGACGAGACTGTAATCCTCAATGAGAATATGTATCTTGTTCAATTATAAATAAAGAATACAAAAAAAAAAAAAAAAAAAAAAAAAAAAAAAAAAAAAAAAAAAAAAGATTGCAATTCTGGCCCAACCCTCTCGGGTGGGTGGGACATATGAAAAGTGCTCTCCCATTGGACAGTGTGATCCTGAATGACAGTTTGTGACCCGGAACCAGAAGTGACGCTGTCCCGCGATTTTACTTGTTCCTCACGGGTCTTAGCGCCACCCACGTTCATGTTTCCCCTGTGTACTGTGGATCAAAGTGAGTATTGATCGTTTATTTGATATTTTCTTGGAGACCCTGAGTTAAAACCCTTAAGTAAAGCCAAGTCAGGCATTAACCAGACGTTAGATCGCTAGCTACCTAGCCAAAGTGCTAGCCAGTACCCGAATGCTTTAGCAGGGCTTTGCTTGGTCACCTGCCAGTCTAAGCGAGGAACGGTATCATAACTAAACCAGCGCATATCACCCACCCCCACCCCTGCGTGTGCAGCCTACATTAATAATCTTGTTGATTAGCCATAGGAATCAGTGCAAAGTCAGAGAGTTTGTAGCTACTGGAGCTAACCTGTGTTTTAACTGAAGTCATTTTTTTTTCACTTTAGAGTAATGCAACAGCATGGCTTCCGATAAAGAACCAAATAAACAAGGCAGAAGGACTCAGGTATATGTTAAATGTATACTGAAGCGTATGTTCAAATTGAACTGAAGTTTTCTTATGTTGGGCTATATAACACAGTTAATCCTAGGTGATAGTATTAGTCAGGTAAATATCAGTCTCTCCTCTTGGCCAAAGATTTGTCTTGCCAACAGCATACAAATTTGAGAAATAATTGTTTGAATTGAGCTTTTTATAATGTTTCTGAACACAGAAAGTCCAACATTAGAGGCTATATATATTGGGGCTATTACCTACGTATGTATAAGATGCAGTACTTAACCATTACAACTTCACTCAATAGCAAAGATCTCCCCAAGTTGCTGAGGCGGCCACAGAGGCTGTCCAGAATATTCTGTCAGTTTTGAACCAGTCATTGGGCAACAGCAGAACAGATAACAGTCAGGGACAGAACTCAAGGCAGCCGCAGAGCATGGATGAAGAAATGGCCAGGTCTAAGTTTAATCATGTTTAAAAATAAATATTCTTCTACCATGTTATGAGCAGTGCTTTATTTGAATCAACTTTATATATATATATATATATATATATATATATATATATATATATATATACTTTTTTTTTTTTACTTATGTTTACATCAGTCAAAGTGACTGTTTATTATTTACAAATCCTGTCAATTACAGGTCTTTTCCTGGACTGTTTAGGCGGGGGACAAAGCGAAATTGACCATGCATGTACAGGCCAACAAAGATTGCCAAACACTGGAGCTCATTCAACTTTACAGTTTTTCTTCTGTGCAAAAATTTTGACACAACTCCTTCACCTGTTCAAGACTTGCAGCACATGCAGGCAGGTCTGGGAAAAAGAACTCTTTCGATGCCAAAAGGCTTTACTCATGCAGAGGTACTTATTTTCATAAAAATGTAATTTTATTTGTGTTGACAATCACTATCAACAGGCAGCAATATGTATTAGTTGTAAATTAAGAAAAACATAAATTTGTGCTTGTCTTGTATTTTAGGTCTCCAGCTTGTTTCAGAGTACATATCCAAAGATGAAAACAATCAGTGGTGGATGGCTTTTGTACAAAGCAGCTGGTATTACAAATAACTCATCTGTATCTTGTGATTGAGCTGGTGTAGTTACTCACTGCTGAGCTCCTCTGACTTTTTCTAAATTTTGGCAGGAGGAAATGGACGGCGCCATTTATCTGTTGTTCCTCCAGAATCAGAGGGATACACTGGAAGTACAATAAGAAGTGCATCTGCAGGGGGGAAAACCATGCTGTACATTGTTCCTTTACAGGAAGAATTTGATCTGACACCTCTACCTCACGATGCACAAGAATTTGGCCTCATGCCAAAGGCTGAATGCAAGACTTGCCTTAAAATCATGCCTTTGCAGCTTCTTGCCCTACATGTAAAACAGTGCAGTGCCCCAGAAACAGTTTCTGATTCAGAACTAGATTCGGAACCAGAGGTAAGTAAATGCAAATTATATGTGTAATTACTTTTAGGGATTTTAGATGTCAAGCAACCTTATAAATAATAAACTTTGTTGGTCTACTTTAGGTTGTTGAGATACCCTGTCATTATGAAAATAAGTCATTTTATAAATGTATATATATATATATATATATATATATATATATATATATATATATATATATGTAACCCAACCCGTGCAGGGGCCTCCCTACACCCCGGACTCTGCGTTGTGTAATTTTGTGTTGGATGGGGGTGCACAATAGAGAGACCAGTCGGACACAGGCGTTCAATTTGTGGCTCGGACCGCGCCGTCTTTTTCTTTATTTAGATGATGGGGCAAACACCACTCCGACTCCGCTGCTGGCCTTTACAAATCACAGTAAACACTGCATCATTATCAAATCACAGCGTAAGCCAACAACAAATATAAAATAAAACACATTAAACAAGAAATAATCATGTAGTCAAGGCATCTTTACACAATTCTTCGGTCTCAGAAATTAGTATGACCCAAAACACAGTTTGCAGGATTATCAGCAAACCGTAACTGAACAGCTAATGCATTACTTTGCCCGAATGGGGGCTATGCTAACTAGCGGGGATGTAACCCAAAATTGCCGCTTATATTACAGAACGAAACGTGCACACAAACTACTCATACTGTCATCAGACAACACATGAACCTCCCAACAAACACACTATATGCTTAGCAAACCGCCATTTTACACAGTGGAACACTTATTTCAAACAAAACCATTGCAGTACACCACGGATAGTGCTTACCTTTACAAATCACAGTAAACACTGAACCCAAAATGGCGCCCGCGCGAACGATAAAACTGAACTACGGTGTCCTGCAGAGGACAAATGGTCAAAATTGCTAAAATCTACAATATATATCCAGCTCAACAGCGACACCTTGTGACTTATTCCAGTCACTGCCTTACATCCGCCCCTCCTTTAAGTGATGGCGTCCCGGTCATCAAACAAAACAAAACAGAACAGTCTCAAAATGTATATAAGAATAGCGGTGGTGGAGGATGCGCAGTATAATGCAACAATGTCTATTTGTGTATCCTATTAGTATGGGTACACTGGCTGTATTATCCTACATGTTTCTTGCAGCCCTCTTTGCTTTTGCCCTCTGCCACAGCTTCCATCCCCTTTCTATCTTCTTCTGATCCTCCCCTGGTTCAATAACTCTTAACCCATAAGTCAGTTTCTTTGGGGGATGCCGACTCCTCGGCAAGTTCCTCCTTGGTTCACTTGGTCTGGGAGATGAGGGGGTGCCCCTGGCAGTTTCATTCCCCCTCCCCTCTTCACTCCCTTGTCCAGCCCCTGTGTCCCTTTCCTCTGGTCCTGTGAGGGCAAGAGATGTATTTGATGCTTCAGGTGAAACTCCCTCCACACCCCCTTCCAGGCTATCTGCCTCCCCGTCCTTGATTGTGTCTGACTCTTCCTCCTGTCTGATTTCTTCACCAGCCTGCTCTCCACTGTCCTCTGTGTCCTCAACCTCTCCTCCATGAACCTCCTCCACGTCAAGCTCCATTTCCTCCCTTGCCTCCTCTCCCACCTGCTCCACAGGAAGAAACATACACTGTGTGAGTAGGTTGCGGTGGACCACTCTCTCTGTATCGCCATTCTCTGATCGCACCACATACACCGGCATGTCTGGCTGTTTCTTCACCACAATGTATGGACGTGACTCCCACTTGTCTCCGAGTTTGCTTCGCCCCTCCACATGACACACTTTAACCAGGACTCTGTCACCCGGACTGAAGCTGTGACTGGTTGCGTGTCGGTCATAGTATCTTTTCTGATGGCCCTTAGCCTGGCGAGAGGCCTGATTAGCCTGTGCATAAGCCCGTGACAAGCAGTCATGCAGGGTCTGAACATACTCGCTATATCCCCCCGACCCATTAGTGGTTGATAGTCCAAACACCAAATCGACAGGGAGCCGTGGGTGCCTGCCAAACATCAAGTAGTATGGTGTGTACCCTGTCGAATCATGGCGGGTGCAGTTGTAGGCGTGTGTCATTGCATCCACATATTCGTGCCACCGGGGCTTCAGGTGAGGTTCTAGTGTCCCCAGCATGTTCATGAGGGTGCGGTTAAACCATTCGGTCGTGCCATTGCCCTGTGGGTGATAAGGCGTAGTGCGGGTTTTAGTGATGCCGGTGCATTTACAAAGCTCCTTTACCACAGCACTTTCAAAATTGCGCCCTTGGTCTGCGTGCAATTTTGCTGGGAAGCCAAACCGACAGAAAAAGTTTCTATACAGCACCTTAGCCACTGTGCTGGCTCTTTGGTCTTTAGTGGGGTATGCTTGCGCATAGCGTGAGAAGTGGTCAGTGACCACGAGGACATTTTCGATAACACCTTTTGATTTCTCCAGAGTCAAAAAATCCACACAAACTAGCTCCAAGGGGGCACTGCTGTGGATACTGACCAGGGGGGCCCTGACTCCTGCAGTTGGAGTTTTTCTAAGGCAGCACCTCTCACATTGCTCGCACCAAGCCTTGATTTCCTGAAACATCTGTGGCCAAAAAAATCTCTCCCTTATCATGTGCAATGTCCTCTCAAAACCAAGATGGCCTGAGTCATCGTGGAGAGCAGTCTTAACTGATAAACGCAAATCCTCTGGTAGCACCAATTGCTCAACTACTCCCCTTTGGCTGTCTTGGACGCAGCGGTACAGGATGCCATCCCTTACCACTAACCTTCTCCACTCCTTTAAGAGAAGGCGCACGTGTGCTTGACCACTCCTTCGCTCACTGCGGCGTGGTCTCTGGTTCATACTCTTATAGTGCAAGACAGGGCCAATAACAAGGTCTTTTTTCTGCCCTGCACGAATCTCCTGTTTGGTCATGGTGGGCAGGGATTCCATCCCCACATCCCTGTAAGGCTCAGTGGATGTAGGGGGCCCGAGTTCTAGTTCCTCCCCTGGGTGCGCGCCATGGCCAGAGGGGCTTTGAGTCTCCTGGGTAGCCTGTGTCACACCCTGCCCCTGTTCGTCGACACCCACCCACTGAGGGAATGTCTGCAGGATGTGCATGACCTCCTGGTTAGACATGCGAGAGAGGGCGTCAGCGTTTGTGTTGCTCTGTCCCCTCCGATACCGGACATCAAAATCGAAAGAAGCCAGCCTCGACACCCACCGCTGGCCTGTGGCATCCAGCTTCGCTGAGGACATAACATACTTGAGAGGGTTATTGTCTGTCTGTACCGAGAACCTACGCCCATAGAGGTGGTCGTAGAATTTATCTGTGACCGCCCATTTGAGAGCAAGAAACTCGAGTTTGTGTGCAGGATACCTTGTCTCTGCTGGGCTCAAACCTCTGCTGGCGAAGGCTATGACCCTCTCAACTCCCCCTTGGACCTGAGCCAGAACGGCGCCCAGACCCTCCCCTGAGGCGTCCGTCTGCAGAACAAAAGGCAAGCTATAGTCAGGATATCCTAGCACTGGAGCGCTTGTCAGTCTTTCTTTTAGGGTCTGAAATGCCTTCTCACACTCATATGTCCACAAAAAGGGTGGAATGGTGGCCAGACTGTTCTTTCCCCCTCTCTTTTTCTTTCTGGGGTCACCCGCGGTTAGGCGGTACAGGGGAGCAGCTAGGGTAGAGTACCCACTTACATACCGCCTATAGTATCCAGCAAACCCCAGAAATTGCAACACTTCTTTTCCGATTTGTGGGCCTCACCCAGTTTTTCACCTTGTTGATCTTCTCTGGGTCTGTCCGGATCCCCTCAGCAGACACCAAGTGGCCCAGATACTGAACCTCCTTTCTCACTAGCTGGCATTTAGAAGGCTTTAACTTCAAGCCATGCTCCCGAAGCCGATCGAACACCAGCTGCAGTCTTTCCAGATGCTCATCAAAGGTTTTGGAGAATATGATGAGGTCATCAAGATAGATTAGGAGGTGGGTGAAGTTCAGATCGCCAAAGCAGCAGGTCATGAGTCTCTGGAAGGTGGAGGGAGCATTCTGCAGTCCAAAAGGCATACGATTTGCTTCAAACAGCCCCATGGGGGTGCTGAATGCCGTCTTGTGTTTGTCATGCTCCGCCACCTCCACCTGCCAATAACCAGAAGTGAGGTCAAGGGTGGAGAAGTATCTTGCCTGGCCTAGAGCCTCCAGGGCTTCCTCTATTCTGGGAAGAGGAAAAGCATCTCTCGTGCTACAGGAGTTCAGTTTCCTGTAGTCAATACACAGCCTTAGTGATCCATCTTTCTTGGTTACGATCACAACAGGTGAAGCGTATGGGCTTTTGCTGTGCCTGATAACTCCTGCTGCCTCCATTTCTGTCAGCAACCTTCTCACATCCTGCCACTGTGATGGGGGGATCTTACGGTAAGGCAGTCGGAATGGCTTAGAGTCAACCAGAGGGATTTCATGTTGCACAGTCTTTGTATGGCCATAATCCATGGGGTGTTGTGAGAACACACCCACGTTCCTTTCCACAAGCTCTTTAAGAAGGGAGCGCTGGTGCTCGTTCTCGACGTCTGCTCCACTTAAATCCACTTCTTGGCTTGCCACCACATGGCCCATACCCAGACATGCTTCTCCACCTCCGCTAATATGATGACTGCCCTGCATCCTGTCTGAAAAGTCCACAATACTTCCCACCAGTGATGCCTTGGCCAGATGTGTGTGAGGCTTGATAGTGATAGCATGCTCGGAGAGGTTCATCACCCTTACTGGGGCACATCCTTTCTTTACATCAGCCAGAACTCTGGCGACCAGCATGTCTTGGCTGAGCCGCAGGGAGGGGTGGCCTTCAATTAGGGCTGTATATGTCTTTCTTTGTGGTCTAGCTTTTATTTTGCACCTTAAATCCATCTCTTTCCCTGCTTGAATGTGTACCTTACGGCCAGTGTAAACGACGGGGCCCACTGTGTCATCCACATCACACTGTTCAGTGTTCCCAATTTCTAGCAGGGAGGTGTACCACTCCGGATGAGTCTCCTTGACCTGGAGAAGGAACTGCTGGCCGTAGGTGGCCTGGAGGTGGCTTCTGGAGGCACGGAGGACATTAGTTCCCACAAGCAGAGGAACCGAGGAGCGGTACTCTGTGTTAGGGACAACAAAAGCCGGTACACCCTTAAACTCTCTCCCCAACAATTTTAGGTTAATGCGTAGCACACCATGGTAGGTGACACTCTGGCCCCCTGCACCTTCTATGGGTATCTTAGAGGGCTGTAGTTTTTGTTTATGGAGGGTGGGGTGGCTGCGCCAGTACTGATGCGTAATACTGGTTATCTGGGAGCCAGAGTCGATGAGTGCCCTGCACTTCATCCCGTTGACTTCCACCTCCCCCTCATTCCTGGGACCAACTAGGGGAGTGCCTTCTCCTCCGTCACCTTTGTTCACCTGCAGTGTGAGGACTTGCTGCTCGCCCATGGTTGCCCCAGCGACCATGGGCTTTATCTGTTTAAAGGCTGAGCTGAGTAAGTGTTTCCCTCCATGGGAGTCACCGGCTGAGGATCATGTGGCCATGTCTGGTCAGGCCCTGGGAGCACTGCTCTGCAAACCCGTGCTATATGTCCTTGCTTCCCACACCGGTAGCATGTGACCACCGGTGTTGGTGTTGTAGCCCCAGGAGGTGGTCGGACTCTCAGTCGAGTGGCAGAGGATGGAGCATTAATTCTCGATTCAAGGTGGGTCAACTTGGCCATCTGCTCCTCCTGGCTCAATGCTAATTTCTTGACCATCTCCGCTAGCTCAGACCACTCTGAGGAATGTTTGGCCTTCTCTGCCTTCCCATTCACACTACACTCCGATGCCACTTGTACCTGAGCATAAGTCTTCTTTGACTTGTTTTGAGGCTGGAATCTCTTAGTTTCTTTTGCTAAATTTCGAAGCTCAGTCTGCAGCTCACGGAAACTCAAAAGCCGGGGCTTCATCGGCGAGATTCTCGCATATACATCCTCATCATTAATTCCCCGTATGAACTGTCGGGTGAGTTTACTGTCACGGTCAGGGAAAGGCTTGCCTCCTCTTTGGTTTTCCTCCACGGCTCGCAGTGTTGCCTCCAGTGCTATAGCATATGAGCAGGCAGACTCCCCTGACCTCTGAACACGCTCATAGAAGTCAGCTAGCAGATCTGAGGAGCTCTGTGTGTCGCCGTACTCTGCTCTCAGATCTTCGAATGCTCTTTCGGGTGTTTGGTCATGGAGAGGTAGATTCAAAACCAGCTTTCGGGCTTCACCAGTTAGGTGACGCACCACCGTGGAAAAGCGGAGGTGGACGGGGAGCTCTATTGCCTCTAGAAGATACTGCATGTCACGAATCCAGTCTTCTACGAGCACCTTACTGTCAGCACTGCCGGTGAAGACTTGGACATTTTTCACTTGGTGAGTCTGTATAAAACCACCGTAGGCAGCTAGTGGGGAGTAAACGTTGGCTGCAGCCCCGCCAGGAGTACTTAACGAAGTATGTACCTGCTGGGGGGGTATGCCAGGGTGTCCACTAACTTGGGGGTCTGAAGCAGTGGGTGGTACGTGCATTGAGGCATGGGTCCCGGGTGGAGCTATAAAACCTCCCTGGGTCATGTTCACGATAGGGGGCATGACAGTGTCGGGGCTTACAGCAGGTGAGGGGAGGGGAGCTTGAGTGTCGTGTACAGCAGCTAGTGGCATATGGGGCACACAGGGGGTCCGCCCATGCTTTGAACTTTCAAGGTTCAGCTTGGCTGCAGAGGGATTGTTCATTAAGGCCACTGCCTGCAGTGTTAGGGGCCTTGGCATGGTGGCTTGGGGGGCCGGTGTGGAATACAGATGGCTGGTGTATGCTTGGGAGCTGAATGGGACAGTCATCATTGGGTAGTTGGGATATGAGGCAACATGGGGAGCCGGTGTAGCAGTGGGACCATGGCCACTGTGCTGAGGGGAAAACGCAGGGGGCATGGTTATCTGTACATCTGGCTGCAACACTGGAGGGGCTGTAGTTATGGGGCTGTGGTTGGACTGGCTTGTCTGATTGGTTGGCACTGACCATGGGCGAATTTCAGATGGGTGTGGGGGCACCTGCATTTGGCCTCCATAGCCGGGCAGTGGTGGCGCACGAGCCGGAGCCACACCACTATCAGTCTGAGGTGAAAGCACGGGTGGTGGTGGGGTCTGTTGTGTGGTAGGCCCAGAGTCGGTGAGGTCCCTGATTGGGGTGTGGTGCTGTAACTGCTGGCCAGTGAAACTGGGGAACTGGGTGACCAGCTTCGACTTCACTGATGACTGTTGGTCCACTGTACTGGTGCTAGCTGTTGCCCCTTTGTTCAAAAAGTGAGGCTGATCCCTCTTTGGAGTGTCTGCATAGTCCCTCATCATTTTTACTGTCCTGTATCTCTAATTTAGCTGCACAGAAAATTAAGTGTGGGTTACTTGTAATAGGCTTCACTGGGAACAAGTACAATATATTTCTAGTAAAATAGAACACAACACAGATGTATGACAACTATCATCTCATAACGCAAAAAAAAAAACCCAAAAAATAATTCACACAGAAAAACAGCGTCAAACTCAGAGTGCAGTTATACAACTATATTCAGCCCCGAGGTTGTAAATGACACAAATTAGCAGCAAGTGCTTAACCATATTCAATGATTGTCATTATAGACAGGGAACATCATTTAACATCCTTGCTTCAATTCAAGTCTCTGAGTTTTTTTTTTCTATGACAGAAAACCCTCAAGTAAAACCGCCCCAAGATTTCACTTTCAAAGGAGGTGAAAGTCCCAGTAATACAGCTGCACAGGCAGTTATAACATAGTTCAGTACCCCATCAGGTGGCAACACCTCTTACTGTAGCGACGTAGCTGGGGGGGTGACGGCCTTGGTTTCTCTTCGGTCTCGAGGGGCCACAAATCCGGGTCACGGCACCAAAGATGTAACCCAACCCGTGCAGGGGCCTCCCTACACCCCGGACTCTGCGTTGTGTAATTTTGTGTTGGATGGGGGTGCACAATAGAGAGACCAGTCGGACACAGGCGTTCAATTTGTGGCTCGGACCGCGCCGTCTTTTTCTTTATTTAGATGATGGGGCAAACACCACTCCGACTCCGCTGCTGGCCTTTACAAATCACAGTAAACACTGCATCATTATCAAATCACAGCGTAAGCCAACAACAAATATAAAATAAAACACATTAAACAAGAAATAATCATGTAGTCAAGGCATCTTTACACAATTCTTCGGTCTCAGAAATTAGTATGACCCAAAACACAGTTTGCAGGATTATCAGCAAACCGTAACTGAACAGCTAATGCATTACTTTGCCCAAATGGGGGCTATGCTAACTAGCGGGGATGTAACCCAAAATTGCCGCTTATATTACAGAACGAAACGTGCACACAAACTACTCATACTGTCATCAGACAACACATGAACCTCCCAACAAACACACTATATGCTTAGCAAACTGCCATTTTACACAGTGGAACACTTATTTTAAACAAAACCATTGCAGTACACCACAGATAGTGCTTACCTTTACAAATCACAGTAAACACTGAACCCAAAATGGCGCCCGTGCGAACGATAAAACTGAACTACGGTGTCCTGCAGAGGACAAATGGTCAAAATTGCTAAAATCTACAATATATATCCAGCTCAACAGCGACACCTTGTGACTTATTCCAGTCACTGCCTTACATACATATATATAATCTTTCAGACTGTCTTCTAATATTCTGTAATCGAATTTCTCTGTTTTAGCCAAAAGAAGGAACATGTCCTTTGTGCCAAGTGGTTTTCCCAACCAGGGATTTGGAGATACATGCTAGTGTCTGTGGCGACGTTGGAAGTCACTTGGACAGGTGAATGACTTTATGTGTAGATGTGTTCCAACCAAACCAAGGTGCAAATTACAGCTGCAAAATGTACAGCTTACACTGAAGTGACAAAAACTGCAGTCCTCCCCTGATCCAATGTTAAAAATGCCAACTTCATATCATAAATAAACATGTTTACAGCCTGGTAAAAAATAACATTTTAGGATTATTAGGCATGAGGGAGGTGAATTTTTTTGTAAGTCATCCATTTCAATGTAATTAAAGCTTAAAATTAGGAGTAATTATTTGATTTACAGGTAGCAGAAGAGTCATCAGTGTTAACAGTTTCCCTCCTGCTTCTTCCAGGGAAGACCTCAGCCTTTGCCCCATATCGACAATGTTACAGAGGGTAGCCGAGTCTCCCAGTTACTGTTTTCTTGTTAGAAGTGCCCGCCAACCTCGGTTCTCTTTAGTTAACTTGTAGCTACATAAGCTAAAACTTTGTTGGTTTCAATCTTCTGCCTCACAGCCTCACTCTCGGCTCCATTTATGCATTTTCTGTGAGAGAAAAGACGTGTGATATAGCCAAAATGGTGATAATGGGAGTCACCCACTGGGCTTCAGCTCTTCAGAAACCTCTACAGGTGGCAGTGTGTATTAGTCTGTCTTCTATATACAGTCTATGGTCCCAACCCTTAAAAGTGAGTTAGAAATGCATGCCCATTTATATTCTCCAGTACATTATATTTTCGGTTAAGTAAAACTAGGATTTGGGTAATTCATATTATTTAAATAACGTATCAGCTTTCTTAACTATGTTCTTCTATCTTTATTTTTCTTTTTACAGTCCTGCCTCCTATGACTCTGCCAGTCCAGTTGGGTTACAACCGCTTCAGAATGAAGAAATGTCCTGGTACATGATATTTTCACCCTACTTTTGATTATGGAAAAGAGATCTTACAGCTGCTACTGACAAAAATCTTTGTTGAAATATTTTTGTCAGTATATTGTACTTCTTTCCTTATGCTGGATTAGTTTATATCAATACATTGCAATTCCCCACAAGTTCTCTTTTTGAGATCATCGGCAGCAGGGTTAAAAAGGGTACGGTCTTACGAGGAGTTTGGCTGTGTTACTTTTTTCTGCCACTGCAGTATAATATGGTTTGTGTGCAAGAACCTCAAATGTATGTAATTGTTCTTTTGTTCATAAACTTGTCAGAATTATTGTTTAATTGTCCTGAAAAAATGTTCTTGTTGTCTTAACAGTGAAGAGGATGTGCTACGATGGCTGGCAGCTCAGGTTGATGCGAGCAAAGAGTTCTGCCTTTGTGTGTCCAGAACTAATCTCATAGAGCGTGGACTAATGCTTTGGCAGCGCCAGAAGCACAGTTCACCACAAAATGTTTTGAAGGTAACTTTCATGGGAGAGGCAGGGGTAGACACAGGTGCTCTGCGGAAAGAATTTCTTACAGGTTAGTTAATATATTTGTCCATAGTCAACATGAAAGTAATTCATGTTTTCAGCAACATCTTCACTGAGTGTTGACAGTGGCTTCCTAACCTATCTTTATTTAATCAATTTCCTAGAAATGATTGCTGGTATTGAAACCAGACTATTTGAAGGTGAAGATGGAAAAGGCAAAATGCCCAAATACTCCATCAATGACCTGGATAACGGGCTGTTCCGGTACAACTCAGTATCATACTATTACACAGTGCACCATCTACAGACATGCTTTTAAATCGCACTGTACTCAAACTAGTGCATTTCTTGTCTTTTCAGTGCTGCTGGTGAAATATTTGCTGTGAGCTTAGCTCAAGGTGGCCCAGCACCAAAGATCTTACAAGAATGGTGCTATGATTTCCTTTTAACTGGAAATCTGGAAACAGTTGATGTGAAGGATGTGCATGACCAAGAGTTGTCTTCATTAATCCAGATGATGTGTTGCACAAGAAATGCATTTATTTTAGAAAATGATGCTGTAGGTAGATTAAAAGCTGGTTTTGGTTTATGTTTACTTTAACAATAATTAAGAAATCACTTGTATTACTATACTTACACTTTTAATACTATAACATTATACTTAAACTTTTTGTATCCCCTTTGAAATATTTTTTTCTTAGTATTTGTCCCATCTTTTCGTAAGGGCTGCCATTTGTATCACACCCAGGTGACTAATTCTATGATCTAATGATAATTATTTTTTTAAAGTCCAACATGAATGATTAGAGAAATATAAGTAGCGCAGTGGCCTAGTGGTATGAGTGTCTGCCCTGAGACTGGGAGATTGTGAGTTCAAATCCACAGTCAGGTCATACCAAAGACTCAAAATGGAACCCAATACGTCCCCGTTTGAAGCATTAAGGAGTTTGACTGGGTGGGTAAACAACTAAATAGTTCTAGAGCATGGTGCCTGTGTCTGCAGCTCACCGCTCTCAAAGGATGGTTACAATGCGGATATGTTATTTCACCACACAACAGTGTGTGTCACAACTGCTGGGACTTTACACTTAAAGGGGATAAAGTTGACAAGTCTGTTAATATATGCACAGTGCAAACAGATTAGATATAAAAAATTATGGAATTTGGTATAATTATGTATAATTCTGTATTTATTACTGCCCTTAACTCCAGGTTGAAGAAGTGGAGGATTTATCATCTTGCACCGAGCAAATCATCAACTGTGGTTACACGGGACCAATTAATAAGGACAACAAAGACAAAATAAAGAGGTATATTAATTCCTTGTACATCATAATTTAAAGGGCATATGTTGTGTTTCTTATCATGTGTGGAGGTTGATTTAAGGATATAGTTGTGGCATCAGCCGAGTTGCCACTAATGTCCCAAATGGTACACTTTGGACACAAGTTCTCTGTACAGCAACATGCTGTGCTGAATAAGTATAATGAATTTTTTCTATATGTGAGAAACTTTATGGTCCCCCAAAATGAAAATGTTGATTATATTGTGACCTTTCCGCTCTAGCCATCTTCTAACCTCATATTTGCATCACTTATTTAACTAAAAGGGTTTTCTGCAGAAATAATTGAAATGGAATATACAGAGGATACATCTTTCAAAATTTTAGACACAATCATAACATGTAACATTTTTGTGTGCGTGAAAGCTGAAGGTGTCTCAGGGTTTAGGACTTCACCTTGTGGCTGGTAGGTTGCCGGTTTGAACACAAGCGGTGTTAGTGTCAGCTGTTGTGACAAGACACTTCACTAATTTTGCCTGCTGGTGGCTGTCTGATGGACTGATGGTACCTGTGCTCGACAGCCTCTCTGTCAGTGTGCCCCAGAGCAGCTTTGGCTACAATGTAGCTCATCACCATCATTGTGTGAATGGATGAATGAGTGGTTAGGTAAAGGGTTCTGAAGTCCTCAGAGTCACAAAAGGGCTATTTAAATACACGCCATTTATCATATACGGATCTGTGTATGTGAATGTAAGTCATTATTTGCTTTTGTTATCTGTTACATTTAGGGCAATTATGCTGCACTCAGCTGCAAGACGAACTTTAATGCTTCGCCAGCTCCGTGAGGGATTACAGCTTTATGGCCTGATGGGAGTCATGGAAAAAAACAGACAACTTTGCCGGGACTTGTTTGTTGCTGGGAACAGCGATGAGGTAAACTAGAAAGATTTTTTGGACAAGAGAATTGTTAGCTTATCTGTAGCTCTGACAATGAGGAAATTACATTGTTGTAGTATTTTTTCTTCTAAATTACTACATCTCTTACGTCCCTCAGCCCGCTAGGAGAGATGTGGTGGAGGGAGTAAGGAAAAGGTGTGTGTGGTTAATAATAATTGAGGAAGGTGTCGCTCAAACAAAGGGCTTTATTAAACGAACAAAGGAGGACCGAAAGGAGCAACCTATAAAGGAAAATGGTTTAACATAAAGTACAGCCCCCCGCTGGGATACAAGCTGAAATAGTCTTAACCAAAACACAAAATGGGAGCAGTCCTGATTAATAGAGTCGCTCTTTCTAAGTCGAAGTCCTATACCAATCTAAAGTCAGTTTGCTGGTTTGTCAAATACCGTAAATCCTCTAATACAGGCCCGGGCCTGTATTTGACCCAAGCTCATCAAGCTCCAGGCCTTTATTGGAAGGAGGGTCAGTATTAGAGGCAGGCCTCTATTTCTATTTGAGCAAAATTAACTAATGGTTCGTTGGAGTTTTTGACAATTAAAATTGCGCCCACATTTTCTAAGTTAAACACATTTCTTTTAACAACGGTAGTTTCTGCTTCAGCCCTCTCCCCCCTCCCCCAGTGCAGCGGCCGCAAACTCACTGATGCGCCTGCAGCCTCTCGGAGTTCCTGCTGCTCTAAACATTAAAATAATTATTTCATTTTCTGTTCCTCACTTCTGATTACCTTCAATGGTGTCTGTTTGTTGCAACCAGCAGGTACAAAAACTAACTTGTTTTTATTTGACTATTTTTCTGTCCTGTCTGGTTATTATCTTCCTGCATCTCCTCTCAATCCTAAAGAGAAACTGCTACCTGGGTTCATATATATTCACCTTATGAGTTACCTTTGAACTGCAGTTCTAAAAGATCTACCCACCGCTAAAACAGCGGGGTGCGCGCTGCTTGCTGGCCGCATCAGTGATTGGTGCGTCACCGGAGGACAAGGTGATGCGCCCCGCTCCACAGCAGCGAAACACATCAGGCGCAAATAAAAGACAGAAAACATTAAAGGAAATGAACCGACATGAACGATCGCGTGTCAGTACCTACGCTCTGGCACAGCGCGTTGCCCCCCCGAGCGCAGGAGCTTGTCACCTGCTGACAGCAGCCTGCTGTCTTTTCCGAGGGCTGCATCTTGCCGGTCATTATCACGTGACAGCGACTAGTAGATGACAGGCATAAAAAGTCACTATAGTGAAGTCGACTAGTTCATGCAATCCCTGCTACTGCTCCCCAGTGTTCTGCAGCATAATCAGCACGTTCTCTTTGACTTTGATATCAAATTTTCGCCTCCTCTTCGTCTCAGCACGGTTAAAGTTACCCTCGCCGTCTATCACTGGCAAATCAAAAGTGAGACGGATGACACAACCGCCCCCCATACTTGCTTATTACCACATTCCACCCGGCCACAATAAAATACCGGCCATTATTCACCTCCGCCGACACCGGCCAAAATATGATACCCGGCAGTTAATTGAATACAGGCCAATATTAGAGGATTTACGGTACGAGGTAATCTCTGAAGATGAGTCTATATACAAAGCTAACAAGTGCTAAGCACGCGAGGAGAAGAGAACAGACTGAACACCTCCGTGTCCAATCTATCCTGAACCTTCTCCCCGATTATGTGTCAGTGACAGCCTTTTACCAGCAGTGGTGTGATTGGAATCACAGCTCAATAATACCTAGCTGCGGATGTAGCCCCGGCCAAACACCCCCCACCCCCTGACAAAACACGCCCCCCGTTGAGCTATCCCCGAGCTCAATAACGGCGGCCCTCCCAGCGAACAACACAATTGAAAGAAAATAAATAAAGAAATAGTAATAATGTAATTAAACAGACAGGACTCCAGGTTTAAATATGAATGTATGGATTTTTTGGCCATCCCCAGTGAGATTATTTTTGTTTCTTGCTTACACACTTTATGGCCATCCCCAGTGAGATTATAAAACACAGATACCACCAACAAATAATCAGTTGCCGGACAATAGGCACAACATACCTATGCTTACTGAAGTTAGCAGGTGAGTTATGTATGTGCAAGTGTTTATTTTAAATGCAATAAAATTAAAAATTATATTAAAAAATTTGCGTCCATGACGTCTTCCCCCACTGCCAATAATGCTTAATTTTATATAAAAGTGTTTCAGAAAAAAATTACGATTGCGCTATCTATCAAACTATGTCTTAAACGTTCAAATTTCTAGTACAAAATCTTCGCAAGTTGTAAAAATATAAATCTATCTTTACCTGAACCGTCATTTCCATCTCTTGCAACACGCATGCGAGTTCTCGTCTTCGTACATGCACGAGTGTTTTGTACATAGGGGCGTGTTTGGACGGGGGGCGTGTTTGGCCGGGGCTACAGTTAGACCAGGGGTGGGCAATTATTTTTTCCATGGGGCCACATGAGAAATAGAAAATATTGTGGAGGGCCAGGCCAAAAGGCTGAAGTCAATTATGCATAATATTAATGGTATTTCTTTATAAAAAGCAGTAAATACCATTGTTTCTTCAAGCTGGTAAGAGTAGACTATATGTTATAAATGAGCAAAAAGGAAAAAGTGAGGTTGTCTTACAAAAATGTGATTTATTCAAATTTCCCAAGGCAATGGTAAACAAAATGTGCACATTTGGTTTTTGTTAAACATTTGTAACTTATATTAGTTAACAGTTTCAGTCACATTCACTCCAAAACACATTCTGAGTTTCAAATATTGTTGGAAAGAGGTTCTTAGCATTCTACAGACACACAGTATCGTCTGTAAAATAAAATCACTGAACTGTGATCTTGAGAAAGAGGTTTAAAAAAAAGTGTCCCAGTTCACTGCTAGTTGCCTATATTTGTGGTCCAAACACCTTATTTTGTGTTTTTAAGCAATTTTTTTCTTATTCAGTGAGAGAAATCTAGTCTCTGCTGGGCTTTAACGAGTGCATCAAAGTCAGGTTGAATGTCTGAGGTGGAGAAGCGAAGCACAGCTGACAAATGATCATCAGTAAGAGAGGATCTTTACCTGGATTTTGTAAACTTCATCATTGAAAATGTTTGTTCACAAATGTAGGTAGAGCTGAAGAGAACCAACATCTTCTGAGCATGTCTCTTCAGGTTTGGAAAGTCCTCCTTAAGAGAAGAGTAGAAATCCAGCAGAGATCCTGAATCTCTGCTTTCGAGTCCCAAACCCTCTTCAGCACTTTCCCCAGGCTGAGCCATCTGACAGCTGTGTGGAGTCCTCCAAAAGAGCCACAAACTGTCTGTTATTCATCGCCCGTGCCCTGATGAAGTTTATTATTTTAGTAACAACATCAGTAACATGGTTGATTTTTTTAGCACTGACTTGCACAACACATGTTGGTGTATAATTCAATGTAAAAACACCTATTTTTGATCTGCATCGATTTCTGTCACTTTATCTTGCATGCGTTTCTAAAGTCCGACATTTTTCCCTGTAAAGCCGGGCGTACACTGTGCGACTTTTTCACTCGCAGCACTCAGCTTCAGCTCAAACTGTACGACTTCCTCGCAGAGCAGATCTCACGAGTCGTGTGCTCACACTGTACGACCCAGTTCTCGTATGCGACCTGACTGCTCACACTGTACGTCTGGTAGCAACACGTCGGCCCTAAAAATGTGCTAAAAATAGCAGTTTTTACTCAACACGTCAGACTTTTTTGTCTTGTCTTGCCTGTTGTCCTTCGGGAGTGCTGCAGGACACACAGGGATTTATGGGGGTTGGATGAGGAAAACGAAATAAAGACAGTAAATCTGTGTTTTGTGATCAGTTTAATTTGACATGAACACGACAAACATGCTTTCTTGACAATCTTTGTGAGTAAAAAAAACGTGTAGAAACAAAAACGAACAGCGTGTGTTATTAGGGAAATAGCGAGCGACCGGCGTTGATGCAGGATTGCGCGCGCATGCGCCGTGAGCGGTTCTGATACTTTTTGGGTCGCAGCTGCTCGCAGCGCCGCTTCAACAGTGCGATACCCTCACGAGGGACGAGCGAAACGCACCAGAAGTCCGTGCGACCTCACGACTGCTGATCGGCGGCTGGTCACGTGGTGTTAATCGCCTCTCGTAACCCCCTGTACACTACACGACCGCTCGGCGCAAAACTCGCCCCGATGTCGTGGCTTCTCGCACGACTGGAAAATCGGCTCAAAAAAGTGAAAAAGTCGCACAGTGTACGCCCGGCTTAAGATTTGGACAACCGTCTGTTGTGACACCTGACAGTCTCTCCCATTTCAATCCCAGAGTGTCCGTGCACGCATTTACCTCTGTAAAAAGATCACTCCCTGTCGTTGTCCCTTTCATCGACCGCATTGCTGCCCGCTCCTCTGAGCTTGAAGTCCGTTATCCCCGGACAAATACGAGCAGCTGGGCTGTGTCCCGGACATCACAGCTCCCGTCTAATGAGAAAAAGTCAAAACTTGCCACTTCACGTTGCAGCTGAAGCTCCAGGTTCCCCGCAATGTCCTCGATCCTCCTGGTCACGGTTCGCCTGGACAGCGGGATTTGCTCAAATGCGCCTTTTTTTCAGGGCATATTAGTGCGGCAGAGTCCACCATGCACTCTTTGACAAACTCTCCCTCCGAAAACGGCTTGCTGTTTTTAGCTGTTTTGTGGGATATCACAAAGCTGGTCCTGGTTGCTGCATCCCTGGATGTGTGAAGCTTATTTAAAAAAAAGCCATGCTGCTTTTGCAACTTTGCTAGCAAAGCTTCGGATGTCCGTGCCCTCTCAGCATCAGACAAGTTCTTGTATTTTTCCAAGTGTTTCTTGTCGTAATGCCGACTCAAATTGTAGTCCTTAAACACGGCAATCTC